TGTTTAGAAATTTTGTATTTTATTCTTCACGTTGTGAGTAACACATTGTAATGATTCTGGGATTTGGTATATTCTTTTGGAGAGTGTTGATTTTTTGGTTATTATTTGTATTATTAGAAAACAGTTAACTTGGCTGGACTAAACTCCAAACTATTTCTCCTCACAGAGGATGGTGGCTGACTACTCTGCTCAATTGTTTAAGTATTTGGACTGCTTAGAGTGTTTCACCCATGTATATATTAATGATCAGCCATAGACATGGGTAGAGTTAATACGCAGAATATGGAACTCTTGTTTTTGCAGTTGATTTCCAGCATATGCCCTCTCCCTTTCCGGCTGGTGCAGTAGTTCTAAACTCTGGTCTTTCAAGCCAGTAAGACTGCATATTTTGATCCAAGTTCAAGCTGCTCCATGCTACTCAGAATAGGGACCTTTCTTCAGGCAAAAGCTGTAAAAACACCCAGTTCTATTCCCTTTTTCTAAATGTTGTCTCCTATCCAAATTCTGCCTACTTTTGGTTGCTCTCAGGTGCCTTCAGGTAGTTGGTTTTTGTTTTTTTTTTAAGATTTGTTTATTTTAAGATTTTATTTAAGAGAGAGTGTATGTGTGAGAGAGCACATGAGCAGGGGAGAAGGGCAGAGGGAGAGGGAGAAGCAGACTCCCCGTTGAGCGGGGAGCCTGATATGAGGCTCGATCCTAGGATCCTGGGATCATTACCTGAGCTGAAGGCAGATGGTTAAACAACTGAACCACCCAGGCACCTCTAAGATTTATTTATTTCAGAGAGAGAGTGAGCATGCACGAGCACTTGGGGGAGAGGCACAGGGAGAGGGAGAGAGAGTCTTAAGCAGACTGTGCTGAGCATAGAGTCTGACATGGGGCTCAGTCTCACAGCCCTGAGATCATGACCTAAGCTGAAACCTAGAGTCAGATGCTTAACCGACTGTGCCACCCAGGTGCCCCCACGTAGTTGTTTTTTATATTTTTTTCCAGAATATATAGTTATCTGTGGGAATATTGGTATGATGAGATACTCTATTACTTGTGATAGAATATTATAGTTTTTGTTTTAAAAGGTAAAATTACTTCATGAATTTATATCGATACCTCCAATACAAATCAGAACTAACAAGTTTTTTTGTTATGTCTCTTCTTCTATACTAAGAGTTGTGGTTCTCAAGGACATAAAGCAAATGATAGAATTAGAATGTCACATAATTATTTACTCCTTTCTTCATCTTACAGCAGTCTGAGTAACAATAGTTGTACTGTCACAGTGACCAAAGTGATTACTGAAAACAGTTAAATTTTTTTTTGCTTGTGCTTTCCATAAACTTCCATCTCCTATTTTAAAAAATATTTTATTATTAACAACTTTGTATACATTTAGCCATTATTTATACTCTCTTCCATGTACTTCTCATTTAATCTTTTTTTTTTTTAGGATTGTATTTATTTATTAGAGAGACAGTGAGAGCAGGAACACAAGCAGGGGGAGTGGGAGAGGCAGAAGCAGGCTTCCTGCTGAGCAGGGAGCCTGAGGCAGGGCTCAGTCCCAGCACCCTGAGATCATGACCTGAGCCAAAGGCAGACGCTTAACAACTGAGCCACCCAGGCGCCCAATCTTTACCAACAAGTAGATCATATTATTGCTTGCTGTTAGTTCTTAGGTAGGTTCTTTTTGGTTATCTAACACTTATTCTCTAGGTTCTTTTGGAAGGCTCGTAGGAGCAGTATTTCCTGATTTCCAGGATTTTGGTAACAGTTATCTGTGCCTTCTATGTGTTCAAGAGCAATCTTACTGAATATAAAACACTTCATTTATATTTTCTTGAGTATCTTAAATATATTACTCCATTTTCTTCTGGCATATAGTGTTGCCTTGGAAAAGTTTGATGTTGGCTTTCTGGGTTGGTATTAGGTGTATGTCATGCTTTTTCAGTCAGCAGTTTCAAAAAACTTTTAATTTTCAAGGGCATTTCTTGCATTATAGCTTTTACTATTTTTTTATGGTAGTGGTCTTTAAAGACTTCTTTTACTTGAATGTTGAATTTTTATTGCTTCATTAGTTGTTGCCTTCTCTCTTTTTTTTAAAGATTTTATTTATTTATTTATTTGAGAGAGAGAATGAGAGAGAGAGAGCAGGAGAGGGGGGAGGGTCAGAGGGAGAAGCAGACTCCCTGCCGAGCAGGGAGCCCGATGCGGGACTTGATCCTGGGACTCCAGGATCATGACCTGAGCCGAAGGCAGTCGCTTAACCAACTGAGCCACTAAGGCGCCTGTTGCCTTCTCTTTTATCCCTTCATTTGGATAAATGTTCAGTGGATATATGTTGTGTTTTCTCTCAAGTTCATTCAGGCTTAGTCTTCATTTCTGAAACTTTTTTTCCCCCCTATTTCTGATGTTTTCCTGAGTTCTGTTAACCTAAACCTGAGTTTTTTGAAATTTGGTTTATGTTGTTCTTTCATGTCTTGAGTCATTTTTGTAATGTTTTTTAGCTCATTCTAAAGTAGTAGGTTACAATTTTCACCTATTTTATGGGTGTGTGTTCTTGGTGTGGTTTCATTATTAGGATGTTATTCCGTATCTTCTTTTTTTTCTTTTTTCTTTCCTTATAATTTCATGGGGTTGACCTAATCATTTTCTGTTGTTTACATTTTTGTGGTTTAGAATGGCTTTTCTTACAGAGCTCCTTCTGCTATTGTTTTAGGGCACTCTTCAGAAGTGTGGCATTTGCTTTCTGAAATTTCTAGGCTTTGCTCCCTTCCTTGCTTTTATCTGAATATTCTCTTTCCTTTATCTTCATTGTACCAGTTGTGCTCAGTAGAGGCTAGATTGTTCCAACTAGTTCATAGAGGCTAGATTGCTCCAGCTTCTTCAGAGTTCACCATGGACCTCCTATACTAAATCATTATTTGAAAGGAGAAACCCTTTGAGTTAGAGTTTTTGTACTCAAATTGCTATTTTCAGTGTCTCTATTCTCAGATCTGACAGATACTCTGTTTCCTTTTGCTTCCTCTCATATGACACAGGTCCTGTGGTTGTTGGTGATTTGTCTCCACCTGCTATCTGGGGGGAACTCATGGAGATTCCTTGTCAGCCAGTTTTTTGTAAATGTTGTCTGTTGGTTTGGGGTTTGTATTTTTATCTGAGGATTTAGGGATGCTCAAAAATATTGGCGTGGCTTCTGTTTTCCCTGAATCTAATTTACCACTTGTTAATTGCTGTTTATGGTTTGTTTTGTTTCAAGTTTGATAATCTTGCTCTAATTAGATTATACCTTCCTCCAGATAGTGCTGGAATATTAATCAGTTCGAGTGCTGGTTTATGTTGAAAACAGCCTTTAGGTTGTCCAGCATAGTACTAGACATATACCTAATGACTCAGAGTCATCAGTTTAGAAGTTAGCCTAAGGGTAATTGTAGGCCAATTTCCAACCTTTTAATAGTGGGATTAGCACCTACTCTTATCTTTTCTCCCCCATTCCAGAACTTTGTTTTTTGTTTTTTAAATTTAAATTCAGTTAATTAACATATAATGCATTATTAGTTTCAGAGGTAGAGATCAGTGATTCATCAGTCTTATATAACACCCAGTACTCATCACGTGCCTGCCTTGATGTCCATCACTCAGTTACCCCATCTCTCCCACCCTTCTCCCCTCCAGCAACCCTCAATTTGTTTCCTATGATTAAGAGTCTCTTATGGTTTGTTTCCCTCTCTGATTTCATCTTGTTTTATTTTCCCTCCCTTCCCTTATGATCCTTTGTTTTGTTTCTTAAATTCCATATATGAGTGAGATTGTTTGATAATTGTCTTTCTCTCATGACTTATTTCACTTAGTGTACACACACACACATCTTTATCCATTCATCTTTCAATGGACATCTGAGCTTTTTCCATAGTTTGGCTATTGTGGACATTGCTGCTATAAACATTGGGGTGCAGATGCCCCTTTGAATCACTACATTTGCATCTTCGGGATAAATACCTGGTGGTAGCACCTACTCTTAAGTTGCAGGAAAACAGGGATATTAGGTGGCCTGCCTGTACACGAAGGTCATTCATGCATCATCTTTGATGTGTATGCCATAGCATGTCATCCTCTGATCTAAACATTACTGGAAGACATTGATTTGTTACTCATGGTCCAAAAAGTCTACAAAATAATGAGCATCATAGAAACATATTGGAAACATAGCTGATGTCATCCTACAAAATGATAGCTCATTTCTCTTGGTCACTGTCTAAAAACAATGTAAAGGAAATGTAGAAACTCTTGGATGAAGCAATTAAAATGGTAGAGATGGTAAAAGATTTTCTTGAAAGACTAAACCAAAACAAACAAAAAACCAGGAATTGTCCAGTTTGTTGATATAAAGAGAGGCAGAGGGGTGTGGATGGGATATGATGGAATTTGATAAGATTGTGAAGGGAATTAAGGAGCACAAATAATACTTTTGGTTAAAGGAAGCATCAGTTTTTATATACTGGGTTGTAATTTTAGGGATCTTGTTATCCTAGTAATAGCCCAGTTCCTTTGCTCCTGAATTTGGTATTCTAAAAAATCAGCTAAAACAACTCAGTTCCTGAAACACAGATCTTTATTGATTTGGTAAAACTTTCCAAGATATTTGTAGTGTTAAGTTAATTGATATTTCTTATTTTTAAGATTTATCTATTTATTTTAGAGAGAGCGTGCACAAGAGGGGCAGAGGGAAAGGCAGAGAGAATCTCAGGCAGACACCGGGCTGAGCACAGAGCCTGACACAGGGCTTGATCTTATGACCCTGAGATCAGGACCCTAGCTGAAACCAAGAGTTCGTCACTTAACTGACTCTGCCACCCATGCACCCTGATATTTCTTATCTTTACTTCATTTAACTTCCTTGCTTAAAGGAATCATACTTTATTTTCATTTATGAATGTGGATTATTTACCTTGTAGTATGTTTCATCTAAAATTACTCCTAATTTTTACCTTTTTAAAAATTTTTAACAGGCCTCAACAAATAATGAAAGTTCTAATCACAGTTTTGGAAGCTTGGGATCTTTAAGTGACAAAGAATCTGAGGTAAGTCACTTCATTTTAAATATGGTGCTATTAAAGTAAAAGCTGGAATCACCTTTTTTCTTTTAATAGTTTTTCCTCCTCCCCCAATCCCCCCCCCAGCAATCCTTGTGGTAAAGGTTAATGCTAAAGTTTCTGGTAGGAACATTTTGTTCTGCCTTATGAAGCACAGTATTCAGACTGAAGACTGTTTGGCATTAGAAAGAAAATATAGTTTCTTTGGTGACGTAGTTGAACTTCTACATTAGTGGTATAGATGTTCTTAATGGAAGACAGTTACTAGCCATTCATAATTCTAGTAGGCGAAAGTGGTTTTTGAACTGTGTTTACAGTTTTCTATTATTTTTTGTTATACTTCCCTCTTAGCTTGGTTCTGAGTAAGGGTTTGTTTACTTCCTGAGATATAGATAATACATTTTTTTCTTTTTGAAATTTCTTGTTGAATTTCATGCCGTTGGTTTTCATTTTTCATATTTAAAAAATCTGGAAAATCCTCTCTCCTCCCACCCACTTACTGACCCCACTAAGAACATACATGGAATTTTACAAGTAGGTATTTAGATCCATGGTACAGTTAACATTGAGCATGATACACTTGATGGCATCTGTTTGAAATATGTATACAGGAAGTTCTTTGGGTTTTAGCATTCACTTGATGCTGCAACATCACTTTTTGTGGCTACAACCTTACAATATTTCCTTTGCTCAGATTATAGACTTCTGTTACTTTTCAGTGCATGCGTGTGTGTGTGTGTGTGTGTGTTTGTGTGTGTGTTTTCCCTTCAATGTTAACTTATTTCTCTTTGATCCTTTTTGGTCTTTTTTCTACTTGGGTTAGTATAGATATATCCCCTTGATAACACCAGTAGGTCATTAGCACTCAGTAACTCTTAGCCGTTTGGTTTTGGTGTTCAGTGGAAAGAGAATATCAAAGGTGGCATTTTTTTAAGTCCTGTGTTATTGAGAGCATCTAGGAATCTCTCTAGGTGGACAGTTTTGTGCAGTACTGTGCAGGCACCCTGACACTCCAAAGGAGTGTGGCATAGGGTTTTCACTCATCAGGCTTTCCCTTCCACAGAGACAACTGGCAGGCAGCTGAAAGGACTGTGCAAGTGACGGGACTTTATCCGCAGTAGGTTCCCTTGAGGTAAGCGTTAGTAGCCCCTGTAGTACCAGATTATCACAGTTTAGTTTTTTTTTTCAAATTAGCACACTTAAATTAAGTCCTTAAAAATTGTAGGTTTAGATTTAGTCAAAGTACAGCTTTTTAGAAACTATATCAAGAATGTTTTCACTTTATATCTCCTGGACTTTGGAACATTTCTTGATATTTCCAGATTTTGGTCTATTTAGTAATTTCACATGCCTTTCCTTTCATAGGCTGTTATGTTACGAAGGGCAATAAAATAATTTTAGATATTTCCCTTTTCTCTTCACCAAATCTGATGTTTTTGACAGATTTTTTATAGCAAAACATAGTAAAAGTTAGATCATCTGTAACAGGTATTTCTGTGTTCTTTATAGTCTCCCAATATAAGCTGTAGACGCAGCTTTAATTTTTTCAAAGGAATCAGTCTATAAGAAAGTACCACTTCCCTTTAAAGAATTCCAAGAATCACTTTTGATTGTATTTTTAGTTAAAAAAAATTTTTTTTTTAAGACCATACTGTAATTTACAGTGAAGTACAGTTCGGTTAAGCATTGCATATACTTCGGTTAATTTGTATAGAAATTTTGATATTTGAAGCATTTACAGAAAATCTTAAAAATTTGGGGGCTTTTGCTGGTCTATGTTCAGCATCAAGAATTTTTACAAATTGTTAAGTCAAGTGGCACAGTATTTTGGAAATGACTACAGCTTATACATTTTCCTTAAGATTTGAAGAAGCAATTTTTTTTGTCTTATCATTTAAGAAGCTACTTATCTGGAAAATGATTTCCAGGTTTTATTTCTATACTAGATACTTTAACAAATTTCCTTGGGGTGAAATTTTACACACCTGAAAATACAGGTATTTGTTGATCATTATGTGAAGTTGTTGGGCGTGAACAATTATAGGGTCAAGTACTACTTTCTTTCCTGGTGCACCAGTAGTAAAGTTTATGTAGTATTGTTCTTTGATGTCATTTTATTCTTTTGGTACTCTGTCCCCTGATCCCCATTACATTTTCTTAAATAATAGTTTTTGTTTATATGAAAAATAGTACTGACGGTTTATTTAAAAAAAAAAATAGCTTTTCTCTCCACCTCACTCTTCATTCTTTCAGCTCTTCTTCCTGGTATTTATTTCCACATTTTAATATAAATAATATGCATATCTTGAGCTTTTGTTTCTTCAGTTGGGCATTTTCCTCCCACCCAGTACTCTCAGATGCCCAGAACTCCTCTGTTTTCTAGCTTTTTACTTTTAAAACTGAAAAGCATCTGATATTCACTGTTAAACTCCTTTGAATCTACTTCAATTGAAATTTTTCATTTCAGTTTATATATGAATTACTTCTTATATGGATTTGCCTTTTATTTCTAAATGTAGAATTGTAGAACAGAAAGGTTTTTCCCTTTGTTAATGAAATTGCCTAGTTGGTAGGAAGGTGTCAGTCTTGTTTTTGCTTCATTTTACATCATTCTAGGTCTGTTCAGTATGTTCCAAAAATTTACTGTGTTTTCAGTAAGCATTTATTACATATGTGTTATCTTCTAGCCTCTGTGCCCAAGCAAAGAGAATATAAAAAAATGAATACAGTGCAATCCCTACCTTCACATGAGATCACTCTCTAGTAGGACAGACAAACTGCTTCATAAACAGTGTAGACTATGCTATAATAGATGTAAGCACAAGGTACTATGGGAGCAAAGAGAAAGAAACCCCTAATTCCATCTTTGCTGGGGAGAAGGTGGGGGAGAAAAGTCAAGTCTTCCTTTAAAGGAGAGAGGATAGTTGAGTTAGGCTGTGAATTCATCCCAGAAGACAAGGGTAAAGTACGAGAAGAAGACAGGCAGAAAGACTAGGATACGCTTTTGCTTTTGCATGGAAGCATGGCAAGTAGTTCTGTTCAAGACATGAGGCAGTGATTCTCAACCCTTAGTGCACTTTTAGATCACCTGAGAAGCTTAAAAAATATACCAAGCTGTTTACTGGTTTGAAGACCTCTGGAATAGGTAGGCTATGCAAGAATGGTGAAAGATAAGTAGGAGTCAGGGTTTGAAAGCCCTTGTACTTCGTAGTAAGGAATTTGGACTGTTGTCTAGATAATGGAGAGCCATTTAAACAGGAGGAACAAAAGGCAAAGTAGAGATGAATAGGCTCCCCCAGTTTGTAGTGTAGAGGATAAAATTGGAGGGAATGAAACCTAAGTTGGGAAGATCATTTAGTTAAGGAATATTGTCTCCTTTACAAAACTCCCAACTTCCACAGTTTAATATTAGGAGGAAAAACTTCAAGTGGGCAGGGTTCTAATTAAAGTGTTCTCAAGTTTACCTTTTGGGCTCTGCCTTCCCCTTCAGATTCTCAAACTTTGGTTAATGGTATTACTCCCCAGGTCCATGCTTCTCAAACTACAGTGTGCAAGTGAATTACCAACAGTTCCTTTTGTCTGTAGATCTGGGGTGGGGGTTTGCATTTCTGACAAGCTCTCGGATTTCCCTAGATTATAAAAGTAGAATCAGTATGGTTTAATGACTGAATGAGGGGAAAGAAGGAAAGGGAAGAGCCTAGGATTATTTAAAGGTATCTAGCTTTAGGTGAATGTTAGTGCCTTTGACCAAAATAGACAACACAGAAGGAAGAAACATAGGTTTGGCATAGAAGATAATGAATTAAATTCTGGACAACATTGAGTTTGAACATCTGTGAATTGACCAAATGAAGATGGTACTTCAGATAGGCAGTAGGAGTTATCTGGAGCTCAGGAAAGAGGTCAGGTTAGAGATGAAGACTTAGAGGAGTTTTTGGCACAGGTGACCACTCTGAGTGGTCATAGGATTCTTGGGGGTGGGTCTCTGAGAGTCTTTCTGGGGCTTCCCAGGGTCAAAACAATTTTTATAGTAGTGCTAAGGCATTATTTGCCCCCCCCTTTTTTTACAATAATGCTAAGACATATCTGGCTTTTTAACTTTCATTTTCTCTGGAGTTTACAGTGAAAATTTCCAGTCTGTAATGACACATGATGACATCATCACCCTGACTTATGAATTGTGTACTTGTATATTCTGATGTTTCAAAACTTCTTTAGTTTTAACATCTAGAATAGTAAATATCGATAGTTATAGCCTATGCAAAGCTGAGGCATCCTTGACAGTTTTAAGAGTTTGTAGAGGAGTCCTGCGACCTAAAAGTTTAAAAACTGCTTCTGTGGGTGAACTCATTTTGATAGTGCGTGTAATGCTGGGAAATGTTAGCAGGCGAGGTAAGTGTGCTAGAGTAAGAGTAGTAGTCTGGTAAGGAGGTAGACCGTAGGAAGAAGAGGAGAAAGAGGGGAGAATAAGGAGTAGAACTAAATGTCACAGAAGTCAATTAAGATAATGACTATAAAAAGTGACTAAGAATTGTCACTTAGGCTTAGTTTTAGTAGACTAATGGGAGCAAGATACTAGATTGTAGCCCATTAAAGAGAGCTGGGATAGTGAGGAAATAGTGACAGCAAATATTGACTACTCTTGGCAGAATCTTCATGATAAGGGAGATGGTGACTAGAGTCTTAACAGGCTCGACATATTATGTATAGGGAAGGGCTTGTAGCAGAGCTGTGACGACAGGACAAGGAAAGTGCTGAAAAGAGAGGAGAAAATAGAACCAAACTTAACACCTTTTTTGGGGAGGTGGTATGAAATGCCGAGATCCAGAACCTGGGTGGGCAGGGTTCATTGTGGACAGAATTAACTGGGAACAGCTTTTCCCCTGATGGGCAAACTTCCAGCCTAATAACCTTTCTCTTACTCCACAGTGAAATAGAGTTTATCAGCTGAAGGAAAGAATCATGAGTTGGTTGTGGGTGTGAGAATG